ATACATTTTAAAACCCTACTTACATCAGGGGTTGTTAGATTTTGTGCCTGGAGTTGTTTAGCTTCATGCAGTTTGTATTATGGCTTTCAGGTTTACCATGGAGATATATGTGTTAATGGCACAGAAAACCTGTAAATATAATTGTTTACGCTCTATCAAGATGAGCTGTAGGCTTCATAATTATTTTAATTGAATACTGCTGCTCCCTTTGTGCTACTTTACTTGTATTAGTGAAGATTTAAGTAATTAGATTTAGAAGAACATAGCATGTTTTGCTCATCTGCATACTGAATTTCAGTGATGTTTGAAGTATATTGAGAATAATACTGAAATGCTATAATCTTGTGATATATAACTGGAATGTCTATGGGCTTTTAGTAGAGAAAGGAAGAAAAAAATACTACACTCTTCTTTCTTTGCATAAGATATGTGCATACACATATATATCTGTATATATGATACTTATATACATGCGTGTATATATCCCAATATTTAGAAAGAAATACAGACAATCCTGTATTCCTGATGATAGTTCAACTTATGATTTTTGAAAATTCTGGTGGGTTTATTGGGGTATTAAATACATTTTTGACTTATGATATTTTCAACTTGCAATGGGCTTATGGGATGTAACCCAATCATAAGTCAAGGAGCATCTGTGTATGTATATTTCTGCATTTTAAAAAGCATATTTTTCTTTCACATGCTCTGATGTAACACATATCCAATTACAATATATGATCTCCCAGAAAATATTAGTTATATTTGTTGAACAATTAGAACACATGGACACAGGGAGGGGAGCATCACACACTTCGGTCAGTGGGGAAGGCTAGGGGAGGGACAGCTGGGTGGGGAATGTGGGGAGGGATAGTGAGGGGAGAAATACCAGATATAGGTGATGGGGAGATGAAGGCAGCAAACCATTTTGCCATGTATGTACCTTACACAACAATCCTGCATGATCTGCACATGTACCCCAGAACTTAAATTATCCATTAAAAAATCAATATTTTATTATACAAACAATATATTTCAGATTTGGTTAGCTCTACTTTAAAAACATGTAAAATTTAAAAAAATTTTGGTATATGAAAACAAGATCATTATTTCAGGTCCCAGAAATCAAAGAATTGTATGAGAATGGTTAATAGTGATTAAATCTCCATTTCCAGCTACTTATACATACAGCTAAATCATTCACTCACATATTAGTCATTCATTTATCCATTTGGAGAATGATAGTCATAACTATATACGCTTTCTGGATTTCTTTTTCTTTTCAAGTCCTTGTTGTTATATATGCATATACATTTATTCTTTGGTTCAAAACTTGTCAAATCTTGTTGGAAACATGCAGGACATGAAAAAGCAAGGCAAAGTATAAAATTTTATATTTATTAATCTAAAATTCTATTTTGAAATATTAGCTTTCATAAAGTATGCTGGAAGAGACAGAAAAGCGGGAGGAGTCATAGAGCCCATTCTTAGTGAGCTTATGCTATTATAAAGCAAAATTGTTACAGAAGAAATTCTAACAGGCAGTGTGAGCACATTACATTTTTACTTTAATAATTGAGATTATAACTAACAGAATAACAGAGGGTTGAAATGGATTTTTAAAACTAGAATGATGAAACTAATGAAACAATGATGAAATAAAATTTCTAAATTAGATGCAAAACTGGATTACACCCTGTAGTATGATAAAAGCTTTTATGTGTGTGTGAGTATTCTCTCTCCTGCATGTCAAAAACTGTGACATGTCTAATATATATTACCCTAAATTTACACTATCATGTTGGCCTGTCATATTATGCTGGCAGAAGATATGAGTACTGGGTCAAAGAGAAAGGAGTTTATACTATGGAACAATGGGAAATATAAGTATTAGCCTATTTTCATCAATTCCTTTATGCCCCCAAGATTTATAGGACCCAGAGAGATGCTGGACAAATAGTGGATTGTGTTAAAGGAGAATTCTGTACTTAGGAAACTCAAATATTTTATAATAGGTGGTAAGAGGTCTATCATTTTACTCCAGAGGGAAAAATTATCTTTATTATATTAGAGAGTAAGTGTGAGAAAACCTATTCTTTCCTCCAGAGAGTAGCACAAGGTTGTTCCAAGGCTGTTCAGGATGTATTCTTGAAAAGATAGTCTGGAGAAAGGACAGGCAATACATCACTTAAAAGCTATGTAGAAAAGTAAAAGACAAAGAGATTTGTTCGACACCATCATGGATTCTGGCAAATTTTCCCATGAGTATGCCACTCTGTTGGTGACTGTGATCAATCTGACAGAAGCTGGAAATAGGTGTATCTAATTGGTCTTACATAAGGATTTAATTAAGGCTACTACCAATAGGATTCAAATCAGCAGCTGTTGACCTTCTGTGTTGAGCTTAACTATGCTTCACAGGTTCCAACATCTAACCAACAGAATAAAAGTCATAAGCCATTGCAGTCTATTTTAGAAGGCCATGTGGCTTTCTTCCTAAGTTTCTGTATTGATAGTTCCAATTGACCTGAGACATTAATACAGTTACAAAAGCAATTGCACAGATCTCATCTTGGTTTTGCACCTATCTATCCATAACAACCCTGGCCGGTAAATTGAGCTGATCTGATGACTTCCAGGACTAAAGTGGTGTCATTGACTACTTCAGTTAAAGTAAGAAACAAATATCATACCGCCTTTTCTAATTGGATGACCACACTGTAGGGATAACTGCTTACAGAGGGTACAAAAATAACAAGTCAATTATCCCTCTAGACGTGGCTCCTCCAAGTAACCACCTGTAGTTTCATTTTAGAGAGGTTTTATGGTCATCTAAGAACCACATTATAATGCACTGTTGGTGTTTCCTTTAACATTAGGAAATCTCTTATAACCACCACCAAGGTGCAAGTCACAGTATTTTTGGGAGGGAGGGAGGTTAATGTCTGGCTTCCATATAAGAAGTACAGTTTCAAGAATGCATATGGTGCCACTGGAAATGGTTTGCTAACAACCTACATTAGTAGGCGAAGAATTTTATGGTGTCTTCAACATGACCTCCTGGCCAGCTGATAAACTATAAGATTCTTAATTCAATTTTAATAATCGAGTCTAGTCACGATTTTTTGGAGGGACTTCCTGAGGGCACTCTATCCAAAATGCCCTATTTATTCATGCCACCAGCTGGATGACATTTGTCCAACACATGAGTGGTTGAGTAGTGGCTATTGGAATGGGAATAGGGAAGACATCTGGAGATACTGATGGGTTTTGCCTGAGAGGTTCGGGAGTTTGAGTCATCCTCTAGTGTTTTTGGCAGATTTCTTGGAAGGATTAAGGGAAATGGCTATCATAAAATACAGTAAGTGGGTTGAAAGTAGTGATTAGACAGACCCATGAATCAATTAAATTCTAGACACTTAACAATGGTTTAGGAGAAAAACATGTTTTTAATTACAAGGGCAGCTACAAGATGTTCTGAGGAAAGATCATTAATACCTCACTTACTCCATACCTCCAAGATGTAAAATATTTTTTTCCTCATATGCCTGGGTTGTTTCCTCCACTATTACGAAACAAACAAACAAGCAAGTATGTTCTAATCTAATAGCTATAATTTCACTTCTTCTTCCAGTCATCTCCAGCTTGCAACCAGAAATGGAGGGAAAGTGTGTGAGAGTTAAAGGACACTTTTTAAAAATTTATGGAGACTCACTGTATCTTTTAGCAATATTCAACCAATATAGGGAGACTCAGTGAGCATTGTATTCAACATAGTAGTCATTATTTTTATGATGTGGGATGATATTAGTCCAACCAGATAAGGCAGGTGGCTGAACTAGAATTAAATTGGAGTCCTCTAAGCCCCCTTAAAGTGTGTAAGAAGAAGACCATCTTCAGTTTGTCATTAGAGAAAAAAAAAGTGTCATGCTCAGGAATAATCAAGACACAATCCTAAAATTTCAAAATAGGTCTATATAATTCTCCAATACTTTCATCCCATTCATAACCCAGAAAGTCTCTAAGAAGAGGTGATTCTTTTCTACAGACAGCTGTATTTAGTGATTAAAGTGTTTTGTTAGGATGTGTGTACCAGGAGACATTGAGGGAGACAGAATCATAAATCTCTTAGGGTCAATTTTTGATAAGCCTGTATATACGCTCAGCAACATCAGATGCCTATTGATGGCGGTGAGTGGAGGGCCCACTGAATACTTTGATTTTAGCTACTTGTCAAGTTTTTATTTTGTAATAAAAAGTGTACCACTATCAGTCTTAATCATCTGGAGAGCCAAACATATGACACAGATTAGTTCCAGTTGTCATAACCATGTGGCCAGAGTTAAGTGATTAGAAGTATAGAATATAACAAGAAAAAGTGTCAGTTTGCAATGAAGCATCACCAATAGCCCTGAGAAAGAATCAAAGGTTTGTTAAATTCAATTTGCTAGCAGTAGATGGGAGTAACACTCCATGCAGGGTGACATCTCTCATTAGGAGACAAATGTGTTAAAGAGGAAGTTGCAAGGGAAATTAGAAAATACTTTAGGGTGAAAGAAAATGAAAACACAACATTCCAAACTTACTGAATGTAGAGACAGTAGTACTCAGAGAGAAGTTTCTATCTGTTAATGCCTATATTAAAAAAGAAGATCTCAAATCAATAACCTAAACTCTCACCTTAAACTCCCTCCTTCCTTCTATTTGCTTTGTGGAATTGGGGCAGATTTCTGTTGGGGCAGAACCTGTGGGGACATTCACAATATAGGATGACCCCAACTGCCACAGTAAATGGAAGGATATAACAAAGAGGAGAGTGGAGAGTCATGAAATAGACAATGAAAAAAAAAAAGAAGATATTTAAAACTCAAAAGTCAATTATTTAAAATATCTACAAAACTTTATTTAGGCTGATCAAGAAAAAAAAAATAAAGCAGATTCACATTACTAAAATCAAGAAAGAAAGAGGGTACATAACTATTGACCTTACGGAAATAATGGTGCTTGCTTTGGCAGTTCTTATAGTAAAATTGGAATGATATAGAGAAGGTTAGCATGGCCCATGCACAAGGATGACATGCATAGTTACATAATGGTAAAGAGTTAATTCCATAAGAAGACCTAACTATTCTAAATGTATATGGACCTAACAAAGGAGCACCAAGATTCATAAAGCAAGTTTTTAAAGACCTTCAAAAAGACTTAAAACTCCCACTCAATAATAGTGGGAGACTTCAACACCCTGCTGACAGTATTAGACAGATCATCAAGTCAGATAATTAACAAATTTGTTGAAGATCTGAATTCAACACTTGACTAAATGGACCTCACAGACATCTACAGAACTCACCACCCCAAAACAACAGAATATGCATTCTTCTCATTGCCACATGGCACATACTCTAAAATGGTCACACAACAGGATATAAAACAATCCTCAGCAAATGCAAAAGAACCAAAATTATGCCAACCACTCTAGGACCACAGCACAATAAAAACAGAATTCATGACTAAAAAAATTTCTCAAAAGCATACAATTATATGTAAATTAGATGACCTGCTCCTGAATGACATTTGAGTAAATAATGAAATTAAGGTGGAAATCAAGAATCTCTTTGAAACTAATAAGAACAAAAATACAACATACCAGAATCTCTGGGACACAGGTAAGGCAGTGTGAAGAGGGAAATTTATAGCAGTAACTGCCCCATCAAAGAGTTAGAAAGATCTCAAATTAACACCCTAATCACAACTAAAGAAACTAGGGAAACAAGAGCAATCGAAGTCCAAAACTAGCAGAACAAGATATAACCAAAATCTGAGGTGAACTGAAGGAGATTGAGGTGTGAAAAACTATTCAAAAGAGCAATGAATTCAGGAGCTGATCTAAAAAAAATAATAAATAAATAAATAAATAAATAAATAAATAAGATAGACCACTACTGGACTAATAAAAAATAAAAGAGATATCCAAATAAACACAATCAGAAATGCAAAGGATATATTATCACTGACCCCACAGAAATAAAAATAACAATTGGAGACTATGATGAATATCTCTATGCACAAAAACAGAAAACCTAGAAGAAATGTATAAATTCCAGACATATACTGAAATACCCTAGCTTGGCTATAATGAATACATTTTAAAAAATCCTGCTAACTCCATTTTGCCCACCCTGAGTTATGTAGGGCATTCTGTTCCAAAAGCTTGCAGTCTGAGACACCTGGCATCTTTGTAACCAATTTTCTGAGAAACAGGCTCCACCGGCCCTGTACCTCCTGTATCTGCAACTGTGTAACTGTCATTCCACACTGCTACCCCTCATCCTGAGTAAAAAACAACTTTAAGTAGAACTTTTTGTAAGGCAAAAGCTTCTCCCCTAACCTGCTCCTTTTGCTTCTGTAATAATTGGCTTACTGCCCCCGAGCCTAAACTGGTATAAAAATGTTGACCGCCCTTTGCTCTTGGCCGAGAGGTTTGAGCTCTAGCTGACTTTCAGACACCGGCATAAAGGTGGACTCTCAACAAACTCAGTGCGTGGCGCTTCTGTTTATATTCACTGGTGTAGAACAATACATTCTCCCAAGACTGAGGAGGAAGAAGTTGAATACCTTCAGAGATGAATAACAAGCTCCAAAACTGAATCAGTAATAAATAGTCTCCCAACCTAAAAAAAAGCCCAGGACCAGACAGCTTTACAGCTGAATTCTACCAGTTGTACATAGAAAAGTTGGTACCATTCCTGTGGAAACTTTTTTTTTAATGAGGAGAGACTCCTCCTCAATTCATTTGATGAGGCCAGCATTGTCCTGATACCAAAACCTTGCAGAGATACAACAAAAACTTCAGGCCAATATCCTTTAGGAATATCAGTACAAAAATCCTCAACAAAGTATGAGCAAACCAAATCTAACAGCATATCAAAAAACTAATCCACCACAATCAAGTAGGTCTTTTCCCTGGGATGCAAGGTTGGTTTAACACATGCAAATTAATAAACATGATTCATCACATAAACAGAACTAGAGACAAAACCACATGATTATCTCAATAGATGCAGAAAAGGCTTTTGATAAAATTCAACATCCCTTCATGTTAAAAGCTCAGCCTTTTCCACTGCACCTGACACAGTGGCTCACCCCTGTAATTCCAGGATTTTGGGAGGCCAAGGTGGGCAGATTACCTGAGGTGAGGAGCTTGAGACCAGACTGGCTAATATGGTGAAACCCCATTTCTACTAAAAATACAAAAAAAAAAAGTTATCTGAGCATGGTGGCTCACCCCTGTAATCCCAACTACTTGGGAGGCTGAGACAGGAGAATTGCTTGAATCTAGGAGGTGTAGGTTGCAGTGAGCCAAGATTGCACCATTGCACCCCAATTTGGGCAACAAGAGTGAAACTCTGTCTCAAAAAGCAAAAAAAAAAAAAAAAAAAAAAAAAAAAAACCTAGGTATTCAAGGAACATACCTCAAAATAATAAGACCAAATATATGACAATCCCACAACCAATATCATGCTGAATGATCAAAGTAGCCAAGGCAATCCTAAGCAAAAAGAACAAAGCAGGAGGCATCATGCTATCACAGGGCTACGGTAATCAAAACAGTATGAATACTGATATAAAACCAGACACATAGACCAGTGAAACAGAATAGAGAGCCCATAAATATGGCTGCACACATACAACCATCTGAACTTGATGAATCTGACAAAAACAAGCAATGGGAAAAAAAGTTCCCTATTTAATAAATGATGTTGAGACAACTGGCTAGCCATATTGCAGAATACTGAAACTGGACTCCTTCTTTGCACCATAAACAAAAATCAACTTAAAAATCTTTGCACCATAGACAAAAATCAACTTAAGATGCATTAAGGACTTAAATGTAAAACTAAAATCTATAGAAACCCTGGAAAACAACCTACCAAATATCACTCTGGACATAAGAAGTTGCAAAATTTTCATGATGAAGACTCCCAAGAGCAATTGCAACAAAAGCAGAAATTGACAAATGGGATCTAATTAAACTAAAGAGCTTCTGCACAGAAAAGGAAACTATCAACAGAATACACAGACACTCTACAGAATGGGAGAAAATGTTTGCAAACTATGCCTCTGACAAAAGTCTAATATCCAGTACCTATAAGGAATTTAAACAAATTAACAAGAAAAAAACAAGCCCATTAAAAAGTGGGCAAAGACAAAAGAAGACATATATGCAGCCCAAAAGCATATAAAAAAAGCTCTACATCACTGATCTTTAAAGAAATGCAAATAAAAACCACAAGATATTACCTCTCACCAGTCAGAAAGTGCTTCCTGAAGGAATGCTGAAGATCCTACCATGTGTTAGTATCATGTACATCAGGCTTTGCTCTCCAGTAGAAAAGAATTTTCTAATAGCAAGATTATTTATTTTATGGATGATATTTTATTAGCAGCCCCAACGGAGCCAGTACTTTTAAGTTTATATGCCTCTGTCCAAAGGAATACCCCGTTAAGTGATTTAGTCATAGCACCTAAAAAAGTACAAATGTCCTCTTCTTGGACATATCTTGGATACATACTAACTTCCTGGTCAGTAAGACCCCAGAAGATTATATTAAATACTAGCAAGTTACATACCTTAAACTTATCAAAAATTGCTGCGCAATATTAACTGGCATCACCCCAGCTTGGGCATAACCACTGTTAAGTTGCAAAACCTGTTTTCTATCTTAAAAGGCAATACAGCCCTAGATTCTCCCAGGTATTTAACCCCTGAAGCAAAAAAGGAAATTCAGGAAATAGAGCAAGTCACTTCTCAGAGGCCACTAGATTGCATAACGTCTAAATATGCCATCCAATTGTTTGCTTTTTCTACTAAACATTCCCCAACAAGTTTAATAGGACAAATGGCCCTAGGACTGTGCTACCTAGAATGGATTTTTTTCTCACTTAACAGGACTAAACACTATCTCCCCGTATCTAGCTATTTATTTAGTAAAGTCATCTATACAGGCTATAGACAATGCAATCTATTGCTATGTATGGCCCTGATGTCATAAAAATTCCTTTGAGTGAAAATCAATTTGAAGCATGATTGCCCCTATTTCTGGATCTTCAGATAGCACTCTCTAATTATGCGGGCCATATAGACCATGCCCTTCCTGATGACAAACTACTTCAGTTCTCATCTTATACTCCTGTAGTTTTGGCTACAAAAGTAGTTCACTCCACCCTTAAAAACATGGTCAGATAACAGAAAACTGGGAATATGAGTCAGGATCCTGCAACACTACTAGCACAAGACTTATTTACCCTTAATTTTTAAATTTTAAATGATAAATTTCAATCCGCTATAGAAAAGCACTTTGCTAAAACCTCTCAAAACATAAAACCCACAGTTTTATGGAAAGATGTAAATAGTAATGTATTGTGTGTTCCAAACAATTTGCTAACATGGGGAAGAGGATATGCTTGTGTTCACACCACCTCAGGTCCTCTTTGCATCCCAGCATGATGCATCACATCATACTATGGCGTGGCTAGGACCTAACCCGGCACCAGAAATGAGGGAAAAGACCCTGCAGGACCCACAGCCGTGGACGATCCAGCTTCCTCAGATAACACAAGTCCCAGACATTACCTGGGGAAGGATGAAGAAGGCAACTCAAGAGGCTGAGCGAATCCTGCTCCAAACACAAACACTATTCACTCCAGATAATTTGTTCCTTTTTTATTCTCTCACTTTGCCTGCCACCTGTACCTGCTACACTCTATTGAGTCCATCTTCTAAATCTGCCTCTTTTCCACCATGTTACTTAGGCAGAGACTCCCTTCCCAGCCTCTAAAGATGCGACTGCTTAGCTAGGAAGGATTGACATACCCCTGGTGGGGTCCCTCAGTAATGGCACGCATTAGACTGTGGTGCCAAGTTGAATGTTACTGATTATACTTGTTTGTCTTATGCTATTTACTAATTCTAGGATGCAAAGCCAAACATGACTTATAACCTCTGCACCTGACAAAACTGTTGCTGCACACATCTTTACTCTTCAATCAACAAAACCTGATGCAAAAATCAGAAAAGGGGGAGATGTAGGAGATTGGTCAGGCTGGT